CCTTAATCAGGCGGTCGATCTGCTGACACGGTTCTCTGCAGAACCGGGAATGGCAAACGCGGGACGTGTTTGCAAAGGATTTTACCTACAGGCAATTAGACGGGGTTATAATTAACCCAGGCGGAGTGGTGATTATGGCATACAGACACCTACTACGCGCGCGGTACAGGCGAAGAGTCGACCAAACGTGGAATCAACGTCGTCGTATACTCTCTGATGTTTACCGAACATTCATTGGACATCGTGGAGGATTTGTTTGCATTACGGATTACAACGGTACCTACGCAAGCCCGGAACTGGCAGACGTTTCTCAGTACACGGACAGTACGGTTGACACTGCGTCCTCTTACGGAGACTTAATCTCGTGGCACCGGCGACAAATTGGCGCTGATTGGGTTGGATGATCCTGTGATTACTGTCTCCTTCTTCGAAGAGATTTCTCTAAATTCTGATAAATACTGCAGCGATAATCTCATCGCATACAAATCATTCGTTTGAATCACTCGACATTAGTTTTTCTTTACACATCTCGCATCTTTTAGGAATGGTCTATAAATCATACCAATAAAGTATTTGATTTGATAAGGCAAGCAGCTTGTAAAAGAGATGCATGGTAAAAACGTGTAAGTAATCAACTTTTACCCGTCGAAACTGCGACTCGTATATTTCTGATTAAAGTAGATTTCATGAAGCTCATCCGGTATCGATTTCTGTCTACTACTTCTACGACTTTTCTATTCAGCGGCGACATTCTGTATGTCCTATTTCTATTCAATAATCTTATCTTGCTTTAACTCGCGACTTGATTACGAATTGATCTTAATACCAACGAAACTTTTTTTTTAAGTCACCTTTATTTTTCGTGCTCGAAGTGACATTGGTATCAAGGAGCGAGAAATGAGGTAATAATTTGTTCCGTCGAAAGTTATCGATATTGCCTCTGAGATAGTTATCTATATAGATACGAAGCCTCTATAACTCCCTATATATATCCCTAAAGACTATTATCCGTATTCATGCGTAGACGATAAAGAAGAAGGAAATCCGTTACACTTTATCGATCCTTACCATCTTTCCTTTCTTCTTTAATAAAAGATCTGATTACATTATACTTCATAAAGTTACGACGCGCCATTTTTGCGTGTGCATGCGAGAGGATACGTACTTTCAATGTCTCAATTTCAATATACTGAAAACGTTACAAGTTTATCGTAATTATAAATTGAGGCAATCACAATGTGTGTATCATCCTGATATTTCACCAGAAATACAACCAAACGTAATTTTTAAATTATATATATTAAATAGATAGTTCTATTATTTTTAATAATATGTCTTAATTACTTTATTTCAATATAATTTAGAGGAGGCGCGCGGTCTCCTCTTTTATGAATATAATATAAAGAAAAAAATGTAGTTTTTTTTCTCATTAGCCTTAATCATTTTTGTGTTACAGAGAGACGTTAGCAGCTCGCGGTTTTGATTCCACGACTCGAGCGGGTTCTCCTTGCCTCAAAACACACGCGGATACGTGCGGATACGTGCACGAGAATGGGAGGAGAGAAAACGCGTGTGCTCTTTTCAGGCGAGAGACCAGCGTCGCCCTCCCACCTCTGTATAACTGACGTTTCATGAATTGGAAATGTAATTTTACCACCCAGCCGTGGCTCGCGGCGTCGTAACTGTTTGCATGATACCCAGGGCGCGAAGTAAACGAGCGCATAATTTCAGCCGCGAACACGTCCGCGGGGCCCGGCAGCCCGGGAGGTGCCAAAGAGTATATTTCGCCGTGTGCCGGGTGACAGCGCGCGTAATCGCGATCACCGTGCTTTCTACCTCAACGCGCGTTTCCCCTGAAAGATTGCTCTCGACGCTCGTCTCATCCTCGCTCACGATTATTAATCCTTCGCAAGGCAATACCGCGAGACGGGACAATAAAACTCGAAATGCTTGTCCAGTGGGGCCAAAGGCAAATATATACGCATGTGTAACGTAGGTCTAAATAATAAATGATTAAAAGTAACCAATTTTTACGATTTTATCTATTTAAAAATAATCTTTAGTAATTTATATATAAGCAAGAATACATAATGATAAACTTCTTTTATTTTTGTACAGTTGGAGCGCAATTACGCTGGTGCGAATATCGCGATCACCGTGCTTTCTACCTCAACACGCGTCTCTCTGAAAAGGCTGAAAGATTGCTCTCGACGCTCGTCTCGTCCCCGCTCACGATTATTAATCCTTCGCAAGGCAATACCACGAGACGGAACAATAAAAATCGAAATGCTTTTCCAGTGGAACTAAAGGTAAATGTACGCATGTGTAACGTAGATCTAAATAATAAATGATTAAAAGTAACCAAATGTTTGCGATTTTATATATTTAAAAACAATCTTTAGTAATTTATATATGTATAAGCAAGAGTACATTATAATAAACTTCTTTTATTTTTGTGCAGTTGGAACGCAATTACACTGGTGCGAATATCTGCGATCGGGTTCATCGCTCTATGCGGCTGCTTAAGAGTTGAGAAGCGCTCGTAATTACGAGAGCATCATCCGCAAATTAAGGCGACGATTGCTTGCTCGCAAGCACAACCGTGGACCAAGGACTACGACGAAGAGATGAAAACGAAGGAGATGAAGGTCTCCCTTGGGCAACGTATACCCGCGCGCGGCAACGCTCCCGGGCCAATAAGAGTCGTGTCTTAATTCTTTTCGCGCCTCTTTCCTGCGACGGCATTATCATAACCGACCGGCGGGATTATCTTTTATTTGGCCCCCTCTCGGAGAGCCGGTCTCGCCGGCTATCCTCATCCGGTTCACGGTGCACGGTATACGACCGCTCGTTCTCCGAACCAATTCCGTTTCCGCGCCGCTTTTTCCTCCCATTCCATTCTGCGGGCTTTCAGCGTCTCACGCCACTTAAATAAATCATATAAATACGACTGCGCGCGTTCGCCATCTTTCGCGAACGGGCGACCAACGGGCGACGGAGGGGTGCGGGACAGCAGGGCACGCGGAGGGGTCTATTCGCCGTTTTAATCTAATCTACAAGCGCATGTAAGAATATATTAAAGAAAAACTTTGCGCGCCGTGCTCAAGCAGACGTACTCGCGAAAATTATACTGTCTCGAGCGGCGGAGCGGTGCTATCGAGCAAGAACGCGTCCGAAGACGATACGAGAAGGATGTAGGGAATATCGAAGAGAGAGAGAGAGAGGGAGATACTAAGGAAGAAGAAGGCTCGGAGGAAAGTAAAGAAGCGGAAGTAGTTCTCGCAGGCCGGTTCTATATCTATCCCGCACGTTCGGGTCTGTGATGCAGACTCCTACCGGCAACAACTATCTAGACCCATACATTTATTTACATGTAATTACGTTACACCCTCGTCTCGCTTCTCGAGTGCTCGAGATCTAATAAACATGTAAGATGGTACCAACTCTCGGGGAGAACACCCCGTGTCGTTGCCGTATGTTAGAAATACGGAGATTTCGGTAACTTTTGGATATAGCTACAGCCATCTATTGTATCAATAATATAATCTTGCGGTTCCATAAATGAATACTAGATGGCAGGTCGTTTCCGCCTAGTAACTATCGCAGGCAGCCGCGCGAGCAACGCGACGCACCAAGTTCCGCTCATGCTAGCATCACGTGACAAGAAGGCGAGTGGAGGGGATGCGCAAGCACAAACGTGCAGAGAGAAAATCCCGGCCATTCTCGACTATTCGGTCAAACGTGAGACAGTTCGAGTCACGTATCGGGTATTCTGCCACTAGAATCTTTTATCGAGAACATGTTCAAGTTCTGTTCAATACTTCTCGCTTGTACCGTACCAATTATTCAAGGTATATTATTGCCCTTGTCGTTGCTCGTGTCGTTTTCAACGCTAATATCGTCTTTAATGCTTGTCTTGTATCAATCGCTCATGTTGTAATGTATTTCGGTGCCGTGAATTCTTACACGAGTCCGTAAAGATCAGTTATCATTCAAATTACGAAGAACGTGTTCGAACATGTAAACGAAGAAAGAAGAACGACATGTATTTCGGGCTCAGCCGAGCCTTTACTTGACGGTGGACATTCGAGCGATATATATTGGAAATCAAGAGCGGCCATCATTAACTTCGTTCTTTTCACGTGGCGAGACGAAATAGCCGCCATTATTCTGATTATTTGGCTCGCTTACAGCGAATGAGTTTCCCACTCTCAGTGGATGATTTTCCGTACAAATAAATGTCGGATTATCTATGATTAATTGGTGGATGCTGCAGATTCCACAATCAGGTAACATTTGGATTTATAATATCAACTATTCGGTTCTTTCGTCAGATATTTCCCTGATGAAAGTGATACTTTACAAGTGAGCACGTGTTAATTCGAATATTCGGTTACAGAATATAACGTTATTTTCCTATGATTATCCTCAAAGAAGGATTCTCACGATTAATTCTGATCAATAAGAAAAGGAGATAAATTCTTATCTCGGGACGTAAATTCAATGGAATTCCAATTAATACTTCTCATTGATGCGCATACAAGGATTAAAGTTATCCTGAAGTTATATTCCTTGTGTTTCATATATTAAGACTTATATTTCGTTTACTTTATAAAATTCTCTAGCGTTTACTGTATATAATGAACGTGAAGTTAATTCGATATATGATTACTGTTTAAAATAATACCTCGACTACTCGATACGTTCTAATAACAATTCTGAACTACGCGAACGAATAAGTTCTTTTGCTCAATTACGTTATGTAAAATTATTGTTGCGATCTTTCCGTATCTCGTTCGATTAATTCTAAGGAGATATGCTTCAATTATTCACTGCAATTATCAACGTATATGGAATAATTATATTTACTAATTGCAAGAAAGAAGTTTCAAGGTTTATCCAAGGGACAATTCCTACCAGACAGTTAAGTTATAATATTATCTAATTAGTTCCTACAGAATTCTTTTATTTATAATACTTCTCATTTTCAGATTTAACGTATTCAGAAATCTTTGGTTTCATTATTCCATATTCGTTATCTTAACATGTATTAATTGTATTATCCTCTTTATACGAGTCTTGTATTTATTATAATTGATGTGTTTGCCTCGAAGATATTCCCTTGCAAAATTTCTATAAAAGGAAGAGACCATTTATTTCATTTAATCATTCAGAATATTTAATACATTGAATATTCGTTCATACTTTCTACCTTGAATTTATTTGAAACACTTCGTAAAGAGATCTCAGACTTAACTCATTATTGGTAATAAGGTTCTGTTAAACGAAGGGAATATTTTCTTTAACATATTTTATATTATCTATGTACAATTTTGTTTATGAATACTGAGAAGGTTTTAGGGCAGTTTCCCTTCTCCTATGCAACAAATGTTGGTATTCTTTATATAGTTCTGCCCACTTTCAACTTTTCTGGATTACGCACTCATTAAATCAATTATTCTATTTCTTATTTTGAATATCGTTTCTCCTTCTCCACCATCCTTAGCTCACGCAACATACGAGGCGTGTACACCGTAATTTATTTATGACAACGTGCAGCTTCTCTCGACGATGTCCAACGTATAAAGAAGTATGTTCAAATAATCATATCTGAAAGTTTTTGACTCTACTTGAACGAGGTGACTCATGATAGTATGTTTTCTGATGCAGATATGACAAACCCGAAGATTCTTCGAGTGCGGATATTTTGTCTTGACTATGAGATTATACTCTGCATGTATTCGCAATCTCTCTCTCGCGAGTCGCTATATACGCGCCACGACGAGGGATTACGAACGCTACCGCCTAATTTGAGATGCACCTGTTACTCAAGTCTGCGCGCGGCTTAAGTGGAATCGGAAACCAGATGCGCGCCAGATAGATCGATGAAGGAGGAAGGAGAAGGATAATCCGAAAGGGGAAAGGAGAAAATACTCGTGTAACTCGTCGGCGGACTTCCAGGCAGACTGCATATGGTGAGGTGAGGCGAGACGTATTGACACACGCTCACATGAGAGATCCTGGGGTTGACTCCGCAGCGCGTAGAGATGAGAAAAAAAGAGAGAGAGAGAGAGAGAGAGAGCAGAGGAGGGAAGAAGGAAGAGCGCCATAAGACACCTCCATAGACGAGGTCGCCGTTCACGGAGTCAGGCTTACTGCAGAGGGATGGGAATCGTCCGTGAGAGAGCGGCGCTACATGCCGCGGGAGGGTGAGGTGAACGTTGGTGGCTGGATGACGGTGGTTGGAAACCGGCTGCTGCCTTATCTCCGCGTACCGAGATTGACTTCCTTTCTATCCATTCAGCCGCTCAAATGAGTTCCTTTGATAACTGTTGTGTGATCGAGTGCACTGAATACTGAAGGGTCCGTAGCCCAGCGGCGAATATTTCGCTGTCTGACGGCGCCGCGTCGCGGAAAGAAAATTTCGGTCCAAACTGGTGCGCGACGTGCCCGTATCCTTGAAGTTTTTCTTATCTCAAAAATTAATAAATGAATATATGACGATCGATTACCATTAGTTTGTGTAAACTTTGAGAACTCGTTAGAAAATATGGCGTTTTTAAATAATCTTGCCGATGCATATTTCTCGATAAATCGGAAAGTTATTATTTTTTAGCTGCGTGTTAAGATCAATCCACTTAACAATCTCGCACGCGAGCAAACGAACAACTTTGAACGTGCATAATTCGCATACGAGCACACGTTGATGCGGGATTAGATTCTTTCCGTCGACGGTACCCAAACGCGTCGCAACGTCTCCGTACGGAAGATTGCACCCTTTCCAGTCCTTAGAAGCTCTTAATTAATGGCACCGGCACACCGACATGGGGCCCTCCAACGCGCGGGGAGGGTAAGGAGAGTTTATGCTGCAGACCTGTAATCTCATGATGCCGTAAGTTATTCTAAATGCACTAGTGGGACCTACGAGATATCCTCTCGGTGTTCTCTGGGAGGTAAGTTTCGACCTTCTCCTCGCTGTTTCACGCGCCACTATGCCACCCCTTTGGTGGTCGGTAGTTAAGCACACCTGACATTCCCGTAGTACAAACAGATAATATCAGGTAGAGAGAACGTTATGGAGCTCATTTAGAAAAGAAAGATGACAAAAAAAGTAGAAAAACTTGTAAGCGAGTAACAGTGTTCCGTATTCCAAAAAAGTCGCATGCAAAACGAATTTTCCGGAACCACGGCATATTACCAAAAAACAGTAACGTATGTAAATAACGAAGCTATTACACGAAAGAGAAAGAAGAATAATCGTATCTGAATAACATTCCATTATATAACCGTTAATATTAGCAATATTTTTTACGATATAGTTACGTATCATATATGTATAATTATTTTAAATCTTTATAATAAGATAATTGCGATATGTAGTAAATCTATTCTTATAATTCAAAATCTAAGCGATATCATTGTCAAGTATTGGTACTGTTACAGTTACATGAACGCGAGGACATGGCATTGCAAAAATTCCAGAAAAGTTATAGCCTAAGGATAGTGCTCGACGTAAGTAACGAAGGAAGGACGAGGGTTGATAATTGTCGGGACACTCCGGATTTGCCCCTGGCCCCACGAGAGACCATAGATTACAAAGTCTGCCTCTTCCGTCTCCTCTATGCGAGCCTTCTTCCTGTTCTCGCTGATGGTACGTACCTAAAATGGTACCGGTCGCCCTCCTTCCCTACAACCCTTTCGCTGTTGCTTGATTTATCACGCGGCAACGACATTATTAACCCCGCGGCTAGATAAGGCATTAACACCGCTTGTCTCGTCTTGTTTCAGATATCGGCCTTTCGAGAGCCTACGGGATAAGCCTAAGAACGCCAAGGATAATTAACGTGCCGCCGTATGACTCACGCGAGCGACTGTAATACATGTAAATTTCAAGCAAGGGTTAAGCGCAAGAATGCCCTTTTTCAAGCGATAACTTGCGCCACACGCCATTCTCCTCAAGAACTCGTTACTATTATTATAACATTCTTGTATAAAGAGGCTGAAAGGGATGATAAGGGAGAATTATTAACACGGAAGAATGTAGATAATAAATGTTTGATTTATATTGCCCGTACAGGCTAATTGAAAAACGTACATACTTTTTAAAAATAAATGTGCAAATCAAGCACATATTATGATAATCGCAATAATAAATTATTCTTTATAATTGAAATTAGAAATAGCATTTTTGGATTAGTGAAGTAAAATTGCACTGTAATTTGCATTACATTTTACGCAATATATAATTCTAATTTTATTTTACATGATAAATAACAATATTTCTCATTTGCATAATAATTCAAGAAGAATATAGAGGATTATTCAATATTTTTTAGCAGAATAGAAATGAAGAATACAACAGACTAAGGAAAACAGCTTTACCTTTACATACCTATCTTTTGTACACGTACAATTTGATACTTTTCTTATCAGCCTTATCAGAAATCTGTAGGAATTATGCTTTGTTTATTTCTAATAAGTGTAATATCACATTTTTTGTCTCCGGCGATTTCGATTTTTCTTTCGTACTACACAATACATCGCGAAGATTTGAAGCGAGTAAAAAAAACTTACTGGGATCCTTCCATCTCTTCCCAAGAGGCGTCTTGCACTTTCTTGCATCTCGCACAAGCACGCCAGGAGTTTCCTCGAGTGCCTGAAACTCTCCCAGGTCTAATAATACCTTGCGTACGAATCGCGAACGATTTTACTGTTGCATGTCGGGGACACGAGAATGTTAGATCTACGCAAGAACAAGGAGCAAAAGGGAAAGAAAGAAAGAAAGAAAGCCTTCACCCTTCGCATCACGGGCGGCGGATCGAACGTCGCGTCGCGGCGTCGGCCTGTTGCGTTGCTCCTCCGTACGCATCACGATATGCGTGCGCGCTCACGCGTCGCGACGCGACACGGAAGAAGCGGTCGGGGTTGCATCAGAAATTCTGAGAGGCGTATTTACACTTCAATAAACGTTATTACTGGATGTTGCGCTGCGGCACGACGTGCTCCGTCGTCTTTTCCTCTCTCTCTTTCTCTCTCTCCGTTTGATATACATAGATACGTTTTATATTGTATGTAAGGAGAGAGAGCGGATATAGACGCGACGCTGACGCGAATTAAACATCTTTGTGGCTTTTTCTTTCTTTTTTTCTCTCTGGGGTACCAACGACGAAGGATATTGACGGGTTCGCTCCGTTTGCCTCATTGAATACAAAATACATTACTCGCCGCGTTAATACATTACTGGCCGGCGACCAAGAAATTCGACGGCGTCATGCGAATTCCCATCGGTCGGCCACGTGCCACGATCACCTTGCCGGATATTCTAAATCGTTGCGGAGACGCCGGGAACGGAAAGCTATTTCTGCGGCTCGAATGCCGGATGTTAACGCGCATTGCCGCGACCAGACGCGGAAATCAAACCTGTCGATCAAGGAGTCCTTGCTCGGAAATGGTCGGCAACGGATATTCTTCTTCCGAACGCTAGCTTCCTTGATGATTCTTGTGCTTAACGTTTTTTTGTGTAATGCGCGGAAGCACAAGATTTTCTATTGAAAAAACGGCTAAGCGACATCGATGTCGAGTGCGAAAATTCACATGTAGCACACACATATGCGATGTAAAAATCTTAATCTACTTGAATTGCATAATTATCATTTATCATTTTGTATAATAACAGTTTTACAATTTATATGCATGACTTTATTGCTTTTTTTTAAGTAGAATTTTTAAAAGAAATGCTTCATGTAGTTTTTGCGCGTCTTAGATCATGTTACTTCAAAAATCATTTTATACATTGATATTTAGAAAATGGTTAAAGCAATTTTTACCCATTACATTTGTTTCCTACAATTTTTTTGTTTTGCTTTTTCAAAAACAGAGTTCGAATTAAATTAAGTTCAAATTAAATTTTAATTGTACATATGAAATTTAAATATTCACACAGTGTAACCATTATTTAGTAGCGATTATTATCTGTATGTGATAATTGACAAGTGATTAATTTACGGATTAGGTGTCTTGCTTTAATTAGAAAAAATTATATGTACCAAGCCAAATATGCACGATTTGTAAAATATCTGGCTATTTCATAAAGAGTTTTAGAGTTTCTGCTGCGTTTCCAAGAAAATTAGGGCAATTAACATACAAATCAATAAAAACAAAAATAAAAAACTTTAAAATATCTTTTAGTTTTTATTTAAAAATTTGTAATTTAGAAAGAGTTAATATTAAGTCGAGAACGTATCTAAAATATAAATACACGAATCGCAGAAACGAATGAAATAACTGAAAGACATATGGTGTATCGATTATTTATTAATAACATAGTTTTACATAATATAGTTTTTACGAAATTAATGGAGTTGATTACTGCCTACTGTACAATATTGAATAAAATTGCGTATTTTTGATTGACTAACTGTATACGTTTTTATTAGCCATTTATTCAAATCTCATTTTTTTTATTAAGCTACACGAAGCCCACTGTTACGTAAGTATCACATTACCGGACCAAAGATGCTGCATCTTTGAATATTTCATCGCATTAACAGAACGTGGTGGACACGAATGGATCGTCTCGGTCCTGGAACGAGTGACGTCGCGACTTGTTTAATTGTTAAGTAAAATCTATATTAATAAGTTCTATATTAATCTATATTAATATGTTAATATGTTATACGATCATATGTTTTCGGATATTGCGAGAGAATCGCGGATATCTATATCTATATTCTATAATATTAATATGCCTATTCTAATGAAAAATAATAACCGTCGTAAAAGGCGAATATGTATCATTTCATTGCTCAAATTGTGAAAGATGTGTGAACGCGAAACTAAAATTAAAGCAGGAAACACAGACTTTTGCATAACGCATAATACGTAAGCATAAAGCTATTATGCACATGTGTATATATGGACCAATCAATTTTCGACGCGTGGCGCTCCCGCGACAAACTCGGCTTAAAGTTAATCGCGCCGGAGATGAAGCCGTTGCGACATCTTGATTGCATTCACTTTGCATTTGCTGGACGGTCTGGACCGCCTGGACGCGGCGGATCGACACGGGATCGACTCCAGAACAAGTGACATCGCGACACACGCTTAAATGGTAGAGAAAAACTCATATTAACTTTGCATCGCTACCATTTGCTGCAATACTTAACAATCACGCAATATAGATTTGGCGTTCATACATTGATAATCTATTTCAACGCGTACCGTATTTCGCGAATCTTGTTCGACCGATGATTTATCGCATAGATAATCGTTAAAGCGATTATATTTTCGGATATCTATTTGCAATTTCATCTTGTTTTTGTTTAACTTGTATCGTAATGTGAGATAACGACCGTCAAACAAAATATGAGGGTAGATTATTCATTGCTCGAAATGCGGGAAATACGTGATACGTGAACGTGAAATTATAAGAGTAGGGCGCAGCGTAGCGATGCTGCGTCACTTTTGGCGCGTGAAGTTTGCCGCGCGCGAGAGACGAATCGCCTCCGCCGCCACGTTCATTACGTTCTCCTTCTCTCACTTCCAGGCCGGCCGCGGCTGACACCGGGACGGACCGACTCCGGAACGAGCGGCGTCGCGGGTCGCGGCTCGTTTAACTGGTAAATATTAAGCTTGCATTCATTATATATTGCAGTACATATCTGTCGCGTACTACATATTCGGCGCTCGAGTATTGATTAATGAAAATATTTCGCGGTATTTATTCGACCGATGATGTATACCGCGCGAGCGGTCGCGAAAGTGACGATGATATTCTTTAATGTCGTTATGTCGCGAATATCGCGGATATCTGTCAAGACCATTGATACGCCTATTGCAAAATAATAATCGTAGTAAAAGGCAAGCGCATATACTTTAGTATTTCCTACTCGTAGTGCGAGAAATGCGTAATCACGAAGTTCAGAACGGTACGCGTAGTGACGCCGGTCGCCGCCGCCGCGCTGCGCTGCGCTGCGCGCTGCGCCGCTTATTTTAACGCGATAAGTTGACCGTGCGAAGGGCCTCCGCCATGTTGATTATGTTCCCCTTCCATTTCCAGAGCGCGGCGGACATGAGACGGATCGGCTGCGGAACGATGACTGGCGTCGCGACTTGTTTAATTGGTGAGTATAACATGTATTGACCTTTTCATTTAATATATATTGCGATATCTGTCGCGTGGTAATGGATTCGGCGCTCGCGGGTCTTAATAGTTCTTGAAAATACGTGTTTCGCGGCGCGGGCGCTTGTTCGGCCGATGGTGTGTCGCGCGGGCGCGCGGGCAGTCGCGAGAGTAAACGATCGTATTTTCTAATGTCGCGAAATCGCGGATATCTTTGCCAAGATTAATACGCCTATTCGCTCGAATTGCAAAATAATAATCGTAGTAATAGGCGGACATAGTATTTCCTGTTCGAAGTATGAAAATGCATAATCGCGATATCCATCGGGCATCGGCGTATCAACACTTCTGGTAAATGTTACTTTTTATTTTTTTCTAAAGATATTATAGAATCTCTCTTTTCGTTTGTGTTTATTCAGTTGCTACATTAAACCGTGTTAAAATATAAATTAGTAAAAATAAATAATTTGAAAAATTTGATTCAAGTTAATTCTAACGTAGAGACTTTTTTGCAAAGAAGTAATTTGAATTTGTATTAATCTGAATAACGAATAAAATGTTCAATGCGCGTGATAATTATTTAATCGATTCGATAATTTTTATGTTACAGAAAATATCAACGCGGGAAGAAGCATCAGCTTCGCATCGAGGGAACACGAGTGTCGCATCGAGGGAGCTGATAATCCGAGAGGATAGCCTGAGAGGAGGAGCAGGCCTGGGAGAGGCATCGGGCACCAGCGGAACAACTTTTCGGTAAATATTATTTATTTGTGTAAAAGCAACTTTTTTCCTGTTTATCCTTGAATCGCTTTATTTCACAATAATTTAGAAATAATAATTAGAAGAAAAGAAATAATTTAATATTGTATTTATCCTTGTAAAGATCCTTTTCATAAAACGTTTCATTATTTAAATTAATATTTAATTAAATAATAAAAAGTTTGATGCACATAGGAATTATGTTTCAAAACATTAGGTTTTTTGAACACCATTTTAATATGAATTTTATGTT